GTACATGCAAGTAAAATTCCTAAGGAATATTATATAGAATTTTGTAGATGTTTTAATGATGTAAAGATTATAGAGTTTCAGAAAAAAATTCATTTGTTTTTATTTAAATGTTGCTCCTTTGTTATAAACGATTGGAACAATGCAAGGGAGAAAGTAAAAAGAAACCATGTGAAAAAAGTTGTCACTAATATTTGGAGACCATTATTCCCGATATTTTTATATGCTTATGTGTATGTAGGAGAACAGAGAAATATCTTGATAGCTAGAAATAATATAATGAAACATGAGAAAAACATATGTTAAATTTAAGTTAAATTATTTGAAACAAACTGAAGTGAAATGAAAGAAAGGGGTGAAATTTATATACAATGTCTTTATACTCAAAAATGTTATTTTCTGGAGTTCACATCTAAGGCCAACAAAGGGAGTAAATTATTTACAGTTGTACCAAAAAAAAAAAAAAATTAAACAAAAAAAAAAATACCTAAAAGAAAAATGTAACCAAGGAGGTGAAAACCTGTACTCTGAAAACTATAAAACATTGATGAAACAAATTGAAGGTGACAGAAAAAAATGGAAAGATATTCTGTGCTGATGGATTGGGAGAACCAGTAGTGTTAAAATATCTGTACTATCCAAAGCAATCTACAGATGCAATCCCTGATCCCAAGATGTTGTTGGTGAAAACATCCAATGTTGTTGGTGAAACAACATTCCAAGATGTTGGTGAAAATACCAACAACGTTTTTCACAGAACTAGAACAAATAATCCTAAAATTTGTATAAACCACAAATACTCCAAATAACCAAAGCAGTCCTGAAAAAGGAAAACAAAACTGGGGGTTTCACAATCCCAGATTTCAAGATAAAACTGTAGTAATCAAAACAGTATGGTGCTGACACAAAAATAGACACAGATCAGTGGAACAGTATACAGAGCCCAGAAGTAAAGCCACACTTTTACTGTCAATTAATCTATGACAAGGGAGGCAAGAATATACAGTGGGAAGAAGTCTCTTCAACAAATGGTGTTGGGAAAACTGGGCAGCTACATTCAAAATAATCAGATTGGACCACTTTTCTATAGCATACACAAAAATAAATTCAAAGTGGATTAAAAACTTAAATGTGAGACTTAAAACCTTAAATTTCTAGAAGAAAGCATAGGCAGGAATTTCTTTGACATTGGCTATGGAAACATTTTTCTAAATATTGTCTTCTCAGGCAAGGGTAACAAAAACCTAATTAAACTATTGGGACTATACCAAAATAGAAGCCTTTTGCACAACAGAGGAAACCATCAACAAAACAATAAGGCAACCCTCCTGAGTGGGAGAAGAGAATTTCAAATGATATATTTGATAAGGGGTTAATAACTGAAATATATGCAGAACTTCTACAATTTAACACAGAAGAAATAAATGCAATTTAAAAACAGGTGGAGGACCTAGATGGACATTTTTCCAAAGATGGCATACAGATAGCCAACAAACACATGAAAAGATGCTCAACATCACTTTTCAGGGAAATGAAAAACATAACCTCAATAAGATACCTGTCATACCTGTCAGAAAGGCTCATACCTGTTAGAATGGCTAAAAACAAAAAACAAGAAAGAACAGGTGTTGGTGAGGGGTGGAGAAAAAGAAACCTTTTTATACTTTTGCTGGGAATGCAGCTGGTGCAGCCACTGCAGAAAACAGTATGGAGTTTTCCCAGAAAAATTAAAAGTAGGGTTACATATGACCCAGTAATTCTACTACTGGCTATTTACCCAAGAGAAATGAAAACACTAATTCAAAAAGATATATGCACCCCTATGTTTATTACAGAATTATTTACAAAAGCCAAGGTCTGGATCCAACCCAAATGTCCTTTGATAGTTGAGTGGATACATAAAAAGTGATATTTGTATATCATTTTATGTATGTATATATACACACACACACATTTATGCATATATATGTATATGTATATTACATGACTCAGCCGTACAAAAGAGTGAGATCTTGCCATTTGCAACAACATGGAGGGACCTAGAATGCTAAGTGAAATAAGTGAGTCGGGGAAAGACAAATGCCATATGATTTTACTCCTATGTGGAATTTAAGAAACACATGAATAAAGAAGAAAAGAGACAAATAAAAAGACTCTTAAATATAGAGAAAAACTGGTGGCTGCCAGAGAGGTAGTTGGTGGGGGGAATGGGTAAAGTAAAGGGATTTAAGAGTATACTTATTGTGATGGACACGGAGTAATGTATAGAATTCTTGAATGATTGTATTACACATTTGAAGCTAATATAACACTGTGTGTTAATTATACTTGAATAAAAATAAAGAGTGGCCAGTGGGAGGCAGGGTGCTTCAATCAGGTAAGCATCTGACTTTAGCGCAGGTCATGATCTTGGGGTCTGGGTTTGAGGCCCACATCTGACTCTGTGCTGACAGCTCAGAGCCTGGAGCCTGCTATGGATTCTGTGTCTCCCTCTCTCTCTGCCCTTTCCCTGCTCACACTCTGTCTCTCTCTTTCTTAAAAATAAATAAACATTAAAAATATTTTTAAAAAAGATTAAAAATTATAATGAAGACAACCTTAATTTTAGTGATCAATTGCTCTTCTAAAACGGGGGTCTGGGGCGCCTGGGTGGCGCAGTCGGTTAAGCGTCCGACTTCAGCCAGGTCACGATCTCGCGGTCCGTGAGTTCGAGCCCCGCGTCGGGCTCTGGGCTGATGGCTCGGAGCCTGGAGCCTGTTTCCGATTCTGTGTCTCCCTCTCTCTCTGCCCCTCCCCCGTTCATGCTGTGTCTCTCTCTGTCTCAAAAATAAATAAAACGTTAAAAAAAATTAAAAAAAAAAAACGGGGGTCTGACTACTCCTGTATTTTCTTCCCTTTTCTTTTCACTCATCTTGTTTTTGTTTTTTTGTTTTTATAATAAAACTTAATTTATCCCTTGAGATTCTTTTTTTGTTATCACATTCACACATTTGCACAATCGCCTTGCCATCGTTCTGTATTTACTGACTCAGGGTTCAGCAACACTGCTGCAATGACAGTTAATTCCTCTGTGTGTGTGTGTTTAATCTTTTAATTGCCTAGTTTTGTTTTTGTTTCCTCCTTCAACCATAGTTCGTTAGTGTCATAAATTTAAGATTAGTTTTAATTTGACACTACTTAAAGAATTCCTTAGGTGTGAGTAGGAACTTGCCTCCTATAATACCCTTAGGTTACTCCCTTTCCTTCCCTGAAATGTGTGGGCTTGGCATTATCTTCTGCTCTTTAATGTAATGTTCCTTTGGAAAAAACAAAATAGAAGGAAACAAAACCCAAAATCTCCCTCTGCTTCCTTTTTTGTACCTGGTTGTCTGAAGAGTTGTTTGTTTATCCTTTGAATTTCAGTAGCTTAAATTGGGAGATGTTGCACTTGTGTGTTTTTGTGCTTTTTTTCCAAACTTTTCTTAAAACACAGTATGCTCTTTTTGATACGCAGATTTAATTCCTAAGGAAAAATTTTCCAGCTTTATATTTTTTTGCATCCATTTTATTTGGTTTTGTTCTTCAGAGTCCTTATACTAGCTGTCCTTCTTTAGATCATTTTTTGTTGATTTTGTGTATCTCTTAGCTTCTCTTTAATTTATTCCATTTCTTTGTCTTCTCTCTATTTGATTATATAAATTTCCAATTATTTACTCATTGAATAATTTACATTTTTACCGTGTGTGCATTTTGGTTCTTACCAGTTCTGATTATTTACCAATGATAGATTTTGTTCCTTATTTTGTTTCATTAGGTCTCTACAGTCTCATTTTATTCTCATTCTATTGTTTCATCATATAATCCCCATCTCTCCCTCTCTCTCTCTTTTTTTTTTCAGTTCACTTTTAATTAAATTGAAATACAGTGTGAAATACTTGTAAGAATTTCCAAATCTTTGGGAAGATTCATTTTCTGTTCAGCTCACTTGGAGTGTCCTTTATTAATCAGCTTCTCATGCTGTATATTCCTTGTGTATCCCCTACCTGGATTCATGCCCTCCTCCTGGGGTTCTATTGCTCACCCCTCAGGGTCTGGGGAAGTGCAGAGAAGCTTATTAATTGCTCAGTTTGTTGTTCTGGAGACTTCACTTCGGACAGAAAGTACCTACTACATGTTTCACTTCTCCAGTTTTACCTGTTTTGTCCCAGCTTCTCCCTAGATTTGTTGGTGTTAGTGAAGATAACAGCATGTTTTTGGTGTAGCTTTATGGGCTTGGGACCTGGGAGAGAGTCAGGAACCAGCATGTACTCTTCTTGGTCCTGCTTGGAAAGGAATCTTCGGTTTCTTCTTGTGGCCACTAGCTTTTACAGTTTGACCTGATGTAGTATGTTCTTTCCATGCTTAGTTACTATAGGGCAGAGCTCAGCAAACTACAGCCCACAGGCTAAATTTGATCAATAACTGCTTGACAAATAACGTGTTATTGGCACCACCATACCCATTCATTTACATATTGTCTGTGGCAATTTTCATGCTTCAGAGAGATGGTTAAGTGATTGCGAAATGGACCAATTTGCTATCTACCCCTTAACAGGAAAAGGATGCCAAACCCTACTGGAAGGTCATTTTATTTATCTTGCTGGCTTTTGACTACTTTTCTTTTATTTTCTTAGGCATTAGAAGAGAGACATGTAGGGATCTTCCTTCATTATCCTCTTTCGACGTAGAAGTTGCTATAATGTTGATTTTAAAATTTCATGGAATATAGAGTAATATTTTGTCTCTTATACAAAAATACATGAAATTATTTCAAAAATGTGAGATTCGTTCATTTTATTTCAGATAAGAATGATTTTATCCTCTGAGGTAACCGCTACCAATAAGTGAAATTATTCACGTTATTCCTCTTTAATATCTTTTTTTAAATCTTTTTCTGAATAAGAGTAACACATTTGCTTAATTATTGTAGCTTTCTTGGAAGACAGTTTTATTTTCTAACTTCCTTCTTTTGCACTTTTTTAAAGGTATAAGAAGTTTAATGAGACTTTGAACAACATCGGAGAGAACGAAGGTGGTATTGATAAGTTTTCCAGAGGTTATGAATCGTTTGGTGTCCACAGATGTGCGGATGGTGGTTTGTACTGCAAAGAATGGGCCCCAGGAGCAGAAGGAGTTTTTCTCACTGGAGACTTCAGTAAGTGTTTCGAAAGATTTAAAGTCAGTTGCACTATTTTATTTATTTACTTGAAACATAGATTTGTTCTAGTTCATATGTTTAACTCTATGAAAGTTAATGATTAAAAGTATCTGACTCTTCAGATAGAACCACAGACTTTGTGAAATCTTCACTTCCACGTGTGGTGCTGGTATCTCTGCTGTAATGTGATCCATGTGTTTCTGAAAAACTTTTATGTTCTGGAAAATCATGTACCAGAAGTAACAGAGTTTATGAGAAAAACAGTACTAGGCAGACTGCTCCAAATTTATTCAACTTTGTTAGTAAGCCCTCACAAAATCAATAGCAATCTGGGTGAAAATAGTGGTGTAAGTTAAATCTCCACTAGCATTTGCACCTGGTTAGCTGGCATTGTAGTTCTTGGATCCTCTAGAGCCCAATATTCTTTTTTTGAGACCTCAATAAAAGTAGACATCTAATCTAGAGAGCAAACTTCATCACTGAATTCCTTTTAGTTTCCTTTTTTTTATAATACACCCTCAGTTTTTTTTTTTTTTTTTTTTTTAATTAACAAATACCTCTCAACCTTATTATTTGCGCTGTTAATTTCATTAGACAGTTAACCCTATGGAAAGCATAGCTGGGCTAGAAATCAGGCTTCTGGTTTACAGTCTAGTGGGAGGAGGGACCTATATGTAAATAAGTATAATACAATTTCTTCACTTTTATTCTAGCAGTATAAATAAATCACTGTATTAATGACAAGAAAGAAAGCTCAGTTCTGGAAGTGGAATAACGAAAAATAGGCCTTGGCAAAATGTTCCTAATATAAGGAAGTATCAGAATGATAATCATCCTTTAATTCCGTGTGAGTGCTGGAGTATTTAAAACTTGATTTTACCAGATTCAAAACTCTACATGTTATATATTCCATTTATATGACATTCTAGAAATGGGAAAGCCATAGGGACAGAAAACAGAGTTGTCAGGGTTTGGAGGTAGGAGTTGTGAGCTTAGTACAGAGGAGCATAAAGGTACTTCTTGGGGGTGATGAAAATACTTTATGTCCTAATTGTACTGCTTGTTACATGACTGCATACATTTGTCAAAATTTATAGACCTGTACTCATAAAAGAGTGAATTTATTGCATGTAAATTACACTTTAAAGAAGCTGACTTTTAAAAACTTTTGGCTTTATATATGTTGTCTAAAGTAGTACTGTTTGATAGAAATATAATGTAAGCCACTTATGTAATTCAGAACTTTTAGGAGCTATATTAAAAAAGTAAGAGAAGGACAACTGAATGAATTCTAATAATGATAAATTTTATTTAGCCCCATGTATCAAAATATTTTAATATAATCAATATAAATTTTGTTAATGAGGTATTTTTGTTCTTCTGTACTCTTTTAGCTCTGATATTTCTTCATTGGGAATATTTTATCTATATTTGGACTTAATAAAATTTTCTTTACTTTTTAAAAAAAAATTATATTTTGAGAAGGAGGGAGAGAGGGAGAGAGGGAGAGAGGGAGAGAGGGAGAGGGAGAGGGAGAGAGAGAGAGAGAGAGAGAGAGAGAGAGGAACCAAAGATCTGAAGCAGGCTCTGCACTGACAGCAGGGAGCCCAATGCGGAGCTTGAACCCACTAATCTTTATCTGAATCAAAATTGGATGCTTGACTGACTGAGCCCTTCAAGTACCCCTTTAATAAAATTTTCAATTTAAGAATACATACCCAGGTTTTTTCAAACATAATTAAAAGTTCTAGTAACTGAGTTGAGTAATAGCTTTAAAATTTTAATTTAATAAATTAGTTAAAATTAAATAATATTTAAAGTTCAGCTTTTCAGTTGCACCAACCTTATTTCAAGTGCTCAATAGCCACATGTGTCTACTAGCTGGCTCCTCTATCATAAAACACAGGTTTAAGAACTTGTAGTTCCCTGTTTCCGATTCTGTGTCTCCCTCTCTCTCTGCCCCTCCCCCGTTCATGCTCTGTCTCTCTCTGTCCCAAAAATAAATAAACGTTGAAAAAAAAATTAAAAAAAAAAAGAACTTGTAGTTCCCCAAATTAGATAATATAAGCTGCCTGTTTTTTGAGAGTTATTGAGAACTTCATGGAAAGTTTTGAGAAAGACCCTGTGATCTGCTGACTCAGTTTAGTTTTGTTCGCCTAATGATAATCATGCAATATATTTTGGAGATAAGAGACCTCTCTCAGTTAAATTATTGTTAAAATAGTCCTTAATTTTTTTTCTTATATACAAACATGGTTTTACCCCATAAAAATGCCTTGACTAGTAGTTTTTTGTTAAAAGACCATTTAGATATTAACTTATTGTTAAGACCCTTTTTGGCATTCTATTTCATTACTTCTTTCTACAGCCATTTATAAGATTGAGAAGTATTGATTGAGAATGTTAAAATTAATTTTTACACAGAGAACCAAAACTACTATAAGAACCTCAGTGAAGATTTGGCACTTGCATCAGGTACCCCCTCCCACATATTCATGATTAAACCCACTAATTAGGTTTTGAAAATACAAAAATGTGGTAAAGGAATTATATGAAAACTAGATTTGGGAACTATCATAAGGACTAATGCTGATTTATTGGAAATTGTTCCTTATCAATATAGTTGGACATATGTGCATTTGGAGAATTGTATTTTAAGTTTATTTAGAATTCAATGCTTATATATTAAAAGTTGAATAATTAAGAAAACATTTTGTAAACAGAAAACTAAAAATTACCTACTTCCTGTTTTAATGTAAAAATGTCCTGTTATTTTTTTTTTTCCAGTTCAAGTTGATTTTTGAAAACCCTACCCTTTGTGAAGGTGTATCATAATTTAAAATTTCTCCATATCCTTGGGATAGCATTTGGTGAATTATTTTTGTCAAACAATATTTATTTATTTAGTGTTCAAGAGTGCAAAGAACATCAGATTTAATCAATGAGCATTTCTTTTTACTGGAGCGATGGGAAAGCTGATATAAATGAAATTGTGATTGAAAATAGGAATAGAATCAAAGATAACACCATTGATATGCATTGTTCTTAGGATCATAGTGCCAAAACCCCAAATAATTCAACTTATTTTCAATTGTCAAGATTGATTTTCTTCATTTTATGTAATATATTACTTACTTTTTTTGGAAACTTATTTTTATTGCTCTTTTCTTATAATATATGTTAATATTTATGTTTTTGAAACTTAAAAAAAAAAAGAAAATAGGAATAGACAGTATGCTGGGAAAATTTAAATGACTGATCTATTTTCTTATCTACTTGAAAGAATAGCTTTTCTGCCCAAAGTTATAGTCTCAGGGTCTTTGTATACATGATATTTCAATGTTTTCTCACTAAGGAGCTTTGACTTTTTAAAGAAAGTTGGAAAATTCAGAGTAGAACCAAAATTGGGGGTTAATAATGCACTTAAAGAATATTTCTTTGAGAAAAAAAATGTACCTGTGAGTAGTGAGCATTAATTTGATATGACTGTGTAGAGCACAGAATATTGATGATAATGACAACATAGCTGAAAATATACCCTTAAATAACTGAACTAACTATGCCTTTTTTTAACATGAAGAATTCAATGTATTTTTTTTTTCCTATTTACATTTTCTTTCTTTCGGAGAGTTGAGCAAGAAGAAAGTCATTTTTTCTTTGAGTTTTTTCTCAGGATCAAAAATAGGTTAGATAATTTTACTGTTATGTCTTCTAATATATAAATTTGTACTAAACCAAAAGGAAAAGAAAATGTATATTAATTAGCTAAATAGTTACAGTATCTTTTTTTATTAAAAAATGCATATGAAGATTAATTAAAATGTTCTTGGTAGTTTGCTGATCATATTAAAATGTTTTGAAAAACATTTAAAAACACTTAAAAAACATTTAACCGTATTCATGACTGTACTTCTATTTATCAGGTGATGGGTTAAAAAGCAATACACTCAAAAGGTCCTATAGAATTAATCTCTAACCATAATAACACTGATCAGTTTTTAGAATTCTGTTCCTTACTTTGTCATGTAATGTAACACAGCTTAACTTTCTGTATATGTACTTGAAATATCACCTTAAAAAAATCCAATTGCTTCTTTACCTATTGTCAGAGATTTAAAAAGTAACAAATTTTGTTTCTATTTTTATCACCAAAGTGTAAATGTAATTTAACATTGCTTTTCTGTACCTACCTCTTCTCTCAGTCCCCAAAGATAACATAATAAAAAGATCATCAGACACCAGCAACAAAAACCTTATTTCTACTAATGGTTAAATTGACCTGAAAAGGAAAATTTTCATTTAGTTTTTGTCTGAATGACTAGACATTTTTGATATTTTTTCAGAAGAATTTAAAATTAATGTCTAGACTTAAATTCTGTATTATGAAAAGTTATATCTGTAATCAAAATACTTTAGCATAGTATGATGAATTTTTCTCCTCTTCTGATCATTTTAGAAATGTACCACATTACGTTCCTTTTCTGGTCTTGCTCAAAAAATTGCTGGTAAATAATTTGTTTTTCTGGTGTATTTTTTTGCCAACTGATTTGACGATATTTTAGGTACAACTACTTAGAATAGTCACATACAGATGATCTTTAAGAAAGAAATTGCCCAGAATTGGTATGGAGGAAAAAAAAAAAAAGAGTTTGAAATTATAATTGAGCTCTGGAAACATGGTTCTTCCTTTGGCTCAGTGGGGATAAAGTGATGATATTTGTCTTACCTGCTTAAACTGGGTTGCAGTAGATACTAACTAGATTGTAATGTGAAAACATTTTATACCTTATTCAGTGCAATAAAAATGTTAATTGATGAGATTGAAAAAAACCTCTCCCATTTGTAATGGTCTTTTTTTTTTTTTCTTATTAAACAAATTACTACTAATTTCAAAAGGTAGTTGACTCTTGCAAGAGTCAAATGACTTAGTCTCTGTTTTGCCCAAACCAAGGCGGATTTAGCTTTTGCTATCCACATTTTTAAAACTTGGAAAGCAA